CATCCTGGCTCAACATGCTCCCTCCCACAGCCTCTGTGACAACAGAGACTCTAGCCAGCCCTTGGGGAACTCTTTCCCCACAGGCTGCCCACCTCCCCGCTGAGCTCTGGACCCCTCCATCCAACCTGACCGTTTGCTCTTGAACAAACCACTTTCATTCTTTGAAGTCTCTTGTTTTCCCCTCTTAAAATGGGGGTAATAGAAACAACTAGGTTTATTGTGAGAGGGACATTGACAATCGGGAAAGGGCTTACTTGGTACAATGCCTGGACCCTGTGCCATCACTGTACGGTAGCTCTTGGTTGATTAGTACACTGTCTCCCCGGGCTGGCCTGCCACAACCTCCAGCTCACCACTCCCAGGGTGATCTCATCCCCGCCCCCCTCCCTCCAGGACTCCAGCCTCAAGCCAAGGCCTCCTTCTCCCTCAGTGGCCAGCAGTCCCCAAATCTGGTCAATTTCTTCCATTCTGTATCCTGAATAGTGCTCAGCTTGATCTGTGATCTTCATGCCCACTGCCCTCATCACTCATTAGCCTCACCCCTGCCTCAGGCTGCCCTCGCCAATCCACTCTCCACAGAGGAGCCAAAGAGTTCTCCCTAAAAAGCAACTCTGAGCCCCTCACTCCTCTGTTACTTTCCCCTCGGGCTCCCAGGGCAAACTGCAAGCCCTCCCTCCACCCCTGCACCTTCGCAGCCCCACTCCTCTTCCTCTCTCGCCCTCCACCCTCCCCCCCAAGCCCCACTAACACTTCTACCCAGCCCTGGCCTGCGGGGGTAGCCAACACAGCACCTCCACCTGGAAGGCTCCCGGGTCACCTCCACCCTCACCCACCCCCAGGCCGCTCCGGCGTCCTCCGGTGCGCTGTCTCGGCGCCGCCGAAGCGTCCTCTGTGAACCGGGGCTCCGGGCACCCGGGCTGGTGAGGGCCTCCCTACTGCCCTGTTCCCCACCCCCTCCCCCGCCCCGACAACGCCGCGAGCCCCCGACGCCTCGGCCCGGGCGGTTCCGTTCCCCGCGGTGCCCTCAGGCCTTGGCGCACACGATTGCTCGATGGAAGTCCAAAGACGGGATGAATCGGGAGCCCAGACAGACCTCGCAGATGAGGCGGAAGCCCGGTGGGTCCAGAGGCGGGGCAGCTCCCACCCCCCGGACTTCCGCGGCCAGAGTAGTAGCCGCAACTCGGAATCCCCTCGCCCGGCCGCCGCGCGGGGCCGCCTCCTCCCTCCCCTCCTGCCGCCTCCGCCCCCTCTCTCTCCCTCCCTCCCTCCCGCTCTTTGTCTCCCGGCGCCGGCCTCCCCGCCACGCGCCCCCCGCACCGCCCCTTCCCGGGAGACCCCCGCAGACCCCAGCGGACGCGACGCGACGCGTGTCGGCCTGCCCGGCGGGGAGCCTGCGTCCGGCGGGGCCCGGCGGGCGGCGGGGCGGGCGGGGAGGTGGTTCCCTCCCTCTCTCCCTCTCTCCCTCCCTCCTCCCTCGCTCACACGCACACACACAAACACGCGCACACACACGCGCGCACACACGCGTACACGCGCGCGCGCACGGAGCATCCTCCCGTCAGGGCTCTGGTCCAGCCCCGCCCGCGCCTCCCGCTCCCCGCAAACCCTCTCCTTCTCTCCCGCTCCTCCCCCACATCCCCTCCGGCTCCCGGACCCTCGGCGCCCGCGCCCTCCCCTCTCCCGGGATGGAGCAGCTCGAGCCCGCCCGCAGCCCCCCGCGGCCGGGGTGACGGCCCCCCGCCCCTCCCCGCCTGGCCCGCACCCCGAGCACCATGGGCCTGAGGGGCTCCCGCGGCGCCGGACGCTGAAGATGATTGATGCTGGAGGTGAGGACCCCGACGCGGGCGGGGAAGCAGAGCCGGGGTCACCGGGGCTCGCGGCGGGACCCTGAGTGGGGTCGAATAGGGCCTTTCTTCCCCATCCCTGGGGGGGCGCGCGGAGCTGGGGTGCTGGGCTGCCGGGGGAGGGGGCGGAGATAGGATTTGTGTCCCTAATCCTCTCCCTCCTGGAGAAATTAATTTTGAAAACCTGGTGTGGGGGGAGGGGGAGAGGGCTTAACTCCTTCCTGCCCGGCGCGGAGTTGGACGGCTGGACCGGAGAGAAACTAGCCGCCCGGCCCGGGCTGGGAGTGCGGTGGGTGCCCCGGCCTCCGCGGCGCTGGGAGCGCGGTCCCACTCGCCCGTCGCCGCATCCCGGGCCTAGGGGAGGGGGCCCCGCTTTTTCCAGCTCCCTACTGCCCCCCTGCCCCCAGCCTCCCCTCCGGCCTTTCCTTCCCGGTCTTTCCCAGTTGCACTTCTTTCTTGGTCTCTTTCTCCTCTTCCCTGGCCCCTTTCCTCTTGCCTGCCCCGCCGGGCCCGCCCCTCTCCCTACAGCCGCCCCTTGGCTCTCTCCTCGCAGCCCTCCCTGGGGCCTCACTCCCGGCCGGCCCGGCCCGAGGGAGCCCGGCCTCCAGCACCGCTTCCCCCGCCCCACTCATCTCTTTCCTGCTCTTTCTTCCCTCTCTCTGTAAGTCTGTGGACAGTCTCCACCAACCTGTCTGTCCCTGTTCCTTCTTCCCACTCCCCTCTGGGGCTTGTGCACCCTTTCTCTTTCTCCTTGCCTGGCTCTCAGGAAGCCTCCCTTCCTCCCAGAGAAGAGTCAAAGGTCATAGGTGCTACTCCTCTGGGAATTGGAAGCTTTGGGAGGAAGGAGTGGCCTGGTAGCACCGGTGCCCAGACTGTGTCCAGAGGGACAGGTTCTTTTCCACCTTGGGGCAGTTCCTGGTTAAATGTGTGCCCATGAGTGTGGGGGGGGGGGGGGGGGGTGGTTTCCAAAGCTCAGTTTTGGTGAGAGGGGCCCGGTGACCTCTTGGATGGCCTGCTTCCCAGAGTTGCCCATGGAACAGTGTAGGATGGCCCCCCCCATACACACCCCAGGGAGTTAGTGGTTGAGGGAGGGAAAAAAGCCATTTATGCTGAATCAGGATGCATTAGGCACAGGTGTGAGCTGGAAGGCCCAGCCTACCTCAGAGGATACCTGAAAGTGGATTCTATCCACAAGGGGGTCTTCACCCTGGACTGGGACTTTGAATAAAGAACACATGGGATCTCCATTCTCAGCTAATCTAAGAGAGGAGGCACCACTACTGACCTCAGGGAGCCTCCATTCTGTTGGGAGAGGCCCTTCTTATCTTCAGGGAGCCCCTAATCTGATGGGGGAATACGCTCCCTTCTCCTCAGGGAGCTCCCATCTGATGCAGGGGAGATAGGACCCATTTAGGGAATCAGTGAAGTATGAAAAATCCCTATTTCCCAGTGGTTGGGGAAGGGTGAATTTAGAAATTGTGTGGACAAATGGGAGGAAGACGGTTGTCTAGGCCAAAATTCTGGAGGAGGGGGCAGCCAGGTCCTGGTCAGATGAGGCTTTGTGATTGAATGAGGGAATTTCACTCATTCTCTGGGGCAGCCTCCCTTCCAAGATGGTCCTTCAGGCAGGAAGAGAGGTTCTAGAATTTCTTTGCTCCTAGCACCCAGAGTTCAAGAATGGCAAGAGAGTTCTTGGAGGGCCCACGTCCCCTGGCCCCTTCTCATACCTCATTTCCTGCTTCTGGCCCCAAGCATCCATGGAGCTTGGGGTGGAGATGGTTTAGAAGCTTCTCCCAGTCCTAGACAGTATGGCCAGCCCCCCTTCCTGTACTTTTCTCCCTTCTCCCCGCAGGATCCTCTCCTCATGCGTACCCTCCAAAACTGCAGATCATCCCCCAGGATAGCACTGGAGGGCAGGAGACAGGTGGAGGCTGAATTCCGCCTCTTATCTCCTGCACCTCAGTTTTCCCATCTGTAAAGTGGGGATGCTAAGGATCTCAAGCCCATACAGCTCAACCGTGAGATGATGTGTATGTAATATCAGGAGAGGAATGTTGGAAAAGACTCCAGCAAGCATGAGGCCCAGCCTTCCCATGCCTGTCAAATGCATGTCCAGCCCAGCGCCCTGCCCTGCTCATGGGCACCTGAGTGTTAGCAGTCATTGGAGATCATGTCCCAGCCGTGCTGTGTGCCTCTGCTGCTGAGCTTTCCCCCGTCTCCTTGGCCAGTATTCCCCTTCCCCTCTAACCCCCAGGCTTTGGCTTAGGGCCACTGCCATCCTGCATCTGCTAGGAAGCCTGCCCAAACTGGTTCAGCTGCGTACGTCCCGCTTCCCCACCTGCCTCCCTTCTTCCCAGCAAAAAGCAAAACCAAACCAAACCCCTACCCATCACACTTCCTGCCGGAACATACTTGCATCACAGATTTGGCTGTCCACTGTTGTGCCGTGGGTACTCCTCATACCCTGCATCTGTGAGTCTGTCTGGAACTGTGAGAACTGCGAGTTTGTCAAGAACAGGGGCCTTGCTGATGGTGCCAGCTTCCTGAACAGCTCATGTTCGGGAAGGCAGGTGGTGAGCACACCAGTGATGGGGGGTGGAGGGCAGGCAGGCCCGGGTGATGGATGGGAAGACGGGTGGGTGGATAGTATGAACTGATGGATGCAGAGATGGGAGGATGGATGGATGGATGGATGGTTGGTTGGATGGATGGGCAAGTGGATGGATGGCTAAATAGGTGGGTAGGTGGATGGATAGATGGTTGGATGGATGGATGGATGGATGTTTGGATGGATGGATGGATGCAAGGACCTGGATTCTGCTCCTGATTTTGCCATTGGCTGGTTATGTGACCTTAAGCCAGTCATTCTCCCCTCTGTTTCTTTATTTGGAAAATGAGAGGATTGGATTTAATAATCTCCCACGATTTCTCCCAGGGTTGCTGTTGGACAATTTATGATCATCAAACATTTTGAGGGAATGCTGATGATGGAGAGGCCCCAGACATTGAAGTCAGGGGGCGGGGAGTTCAGTGAGCCATGTGAATGCACACAGCAAATCAGCTTGGACCAAAATCCCAGGACTCAGCCTGTGTCTACACCCGGGATTTGCTTCTGCCCCTACTCTTTTACTTCTGCCTCCTGCCCCAACTCCTACCGTCTGGAGTATGGTGCAGACAATTTCTTTTCCAAGGGGCTGGAGGAAGAGTTCTAAGGGAAGGTGAGGGACCAGAAGGCCAGGAGCAGGCAGCCAGGGGTAGCTCCCTTGTTTCCCTCCACCAACCTGAACCTCTTACCCATAATCTCTCTCTCTCTCTCTCTCTCTCTCTCTCCCCCCCCCCCCCCCCATTCTCCTCAGCTCTCTTGAGTCATGGCTTCTTCAAAGCTACGAGAACCTGCGGATGAGGTTTTTGGTAAGTTCTGTTTGCTCTAACTCTAGCCAAAGCCACAGGCACTGGGGGGGGGATTCCCCTGGGACTCCAGTATGTGTCTTTGTGTGTGTGTGGATTGTGGCCTGGCAGCCTGAGTCTCTGTCATGACACTCTATGCCGATGACAACCACAACAATCACGGTCTCCATTTAGAAAGTGCTGTCTCACTAGGCTGACACCCCCATCTCACAATGTCACTTATGCCCCACAATAAGGCCAAGAGATGTGCCCATTGTACAGACAAGGAACCGAGAGCACAGAGTGCCGGAGTGACTTGCTTTAAAGATCAGGTGGCAGGTCAGTGGCAGAGCTGGGACTAGAAGTCCGGACTGGGCGGCTGTACACCTGAATCCCCGCCCAGGTGACAGCCATGGCCTCCACATCACATGGTAACGGCCCTCAGCCTGCAGGGTATGCGTGGAAATCAAATGCACAGAACACAGAGCCTCAGTGCCCGCAGGCCCACCCCAGCTCCGTACACACCGGGGGGCATGCACACGCCTGCCTGCGCCATCATGTACCCCCTGCGGTCTTGCTGTTGGGTGGTGTGGGGAAAAGCCCACCCTGGCAGGGCAGAGCTCCCAGCATGCAGTGGGGTGGAAAGGCTGGTTCCCAGCTGGATTTGGTGGAGGAGTCAGGGAGCAAGGGACAGGGAGGGTCATGAGGAACATGGAGGGAGAGGTGGAGACAGAAGCTGTTGCCCGAAGCCTGTAGCATGTGCGCAGACTCTCATGTTGATGTGCGCAGCCTCAAGGGGCTCCTGGCTTCTCCTTGTCTCTCCCTTCCCTCCCCTCCCCTCCCCTCCTCCCTCTCCCCAGCTCACCCCCTTCTCCCCTGTGCAGCCGTATGCCCTGGCAAAGCCAGGAAGTGCTGCCTCCCGGCTCCTGGGAATGCTGTTTTCCCAGCCTCCCTGCGGCCCATGGAATGGAGGGTTTGCCTCCAGGACTCCTCCAGCCTCCAGCCGCCTTTGGGCCTCAGACTCTAGGGTCCCACCATCTGCACCCGGGCCTGGCCTGACAGAAGTGAGCTCCCCCTGTCCTAGGCTTCTGGGCCGCCATTCCCACCCCCCAACCCCAACTCTTCCTGTGTTCCTTCTCCCGGACCTGCTGAGGTAGCTGGAGGTAGCTGGCCGCCTTGCCTGCTTCCTGATGTGAAAGGCAATGAAATATTCATGACTCCCCACTGCCCAGGGCTGGGGAGAGAAAGACAGAGAGACAGACCTGCACAGAGATGGAGGGAGGCCAGGGAGCCAAGTAGAGCAGGGGCCAGAGGGGAGGCCAGTCCCACCTTGCCTCGAAAATACCTCAGCTCCCTAGGACTTCCTTTGCTGCCTACACCCTCCAAGGTAAGCCGCCCCGAAGTCCTGATGTGGCCCAGAGTCAGGAGAAGGGCCCTTCTCCCTGGCTTTGGGGGGCTGGGCACCCGGTGAGGGCTGGAGGTAGAGGGGGTGTTCCACAGCTCCCTGCCCCGCCGCCCAGGACAGCGAGACCACCAGTCCGGGAGCCAGGAGGCCTGGATGCTGTCCTTAACTCCCTCTCCACTCCTGGCCAAACCTTTCCTCTCTGAGTCCCAGTTTCCCCACCTGTAAAATGAGGGGTTGGACTCACGACTCACCCCCATCTCTGCCTCAGAGGAGGTGTAGCAGGCTTGATGGTTACACACTGAGCCTCGGGAGCCAGACTGCCTGTAACGCTGGCCACTCTCTTCAGTGGCCAGATGCCCTGGGGCAGATTAAGGCTGCCCTGGGGATTCCTGGAGTGTCTTCCTCCTAGGGTTGTGGGGAGTTTAAATGAGCTAGTAATTGTGAAGCACTTAGAATGGGTGCCTAGCACAGTGAGAACTCAATAAGGATTAGCAATTATTATTCTGTGGTTCGGTCCTCAATCCTTGCTGCTTGCAGATAATGCTTGGAGATGCTGTGTCGTGTCGTTGGGGAGCCGGGGATGGAGGAGGGCTCCCTCCCTCAGCTCAGCCGCAGGGCCTGGAAACACCAGAAACAAAGCAGGGGCAGTGAAGGAGCTAGAGGAGTGGTGTCAAGCCTGGGGTCCCAAATAGCAGTCCTTTGACAGGCCCTCTCCCCTCGCCAAGGCCCCATCGCTGCCCCAGGACACCTGCACAGGCCCTGTGGGGGTCCACCCTCCCCTGCCCCCTGGGGCCAGGCCAGTCCCCTCCCCTTGCAGGCTCCACTGGCCCACACCATCCCTTCCCCTTAGAAAGCTCCTTCTTGTTCTTCCTACAACCTTGGCTCTCTCCTCAGCCTGGCTGCCTCATCTAAAATAGAGCCCCCAGCCCCTGCCTGTCTCTTTCTCCCCCTCCACAAATACCACGGAGCCCCTTCCGTGTGCCAGGCTCTGTGTGAGGACCCAGGGAGACAGTCACTGCCCTCGTGGGGACTGAGTGCCAGGGCGGGGGCAAGCAGGGGGCCGACCCTGGGGCACACATGACCCATGATGAGGAACATGTCCTGGGGAGGAGTGCTCCTCAGAGGGGCGCGGGGTATGGATGTGATGGAGTGTGGGCAGCAGCGCTTCTCTGTGCCTTGAGGCCATCTCTGCCTGGCTGTGCCCTGGCCCTGAAGCGTGACTTGGCTTCATCAACATCAACTGAGCCCCTGCTCTCTGCCAGGCCCAGCACCGGGCTCTCTCGGTCCCCAGGGGACAGCGAAGGGCTCGCCCCTCTGCAGTGCGCAGACTGGCAAACGGGATGGTCGCTTCTGACCAGATGTTGTGCCAGGCCTGCAGAGGTGCAGCTGTCCCGTGGGGCTGGGGAAGGAGGGATTTGAGGGGACAGACGAGGGGGTGGGGGGGCAGTGGAGCCGAGAGAGCCGCGCGCGGTCAGAGGCAGGAAAGGAAGGTGGAGGCCGGGATCCGGGAGTGGTCAGGAGCTTAGTGCCGCATGCCGCCCTGCGCCCCGGCAGCTCATGCCTGCTCATAGCCACGGGCATTCTGGCGAAGCGCTTTATCTGGGTTACCTTATTTGACGCTCACACAACCCTGGAAGGAAGATATTCCTCTTATGACCCCATTTTACTGATGAGGAAGCCAGCCTATAAATGTAAGGAACTTCTCCAGAGTCACCCAGTTGGCAAATGGCAGAACTGGACTCAGCCCTGGCCAGCTGGCTCTTACCCGTGGTCCTTGCAAGAGCATGCTGTGCTGAGGAGGAAATGTGGGGAACACAGAAAGGGGGAGCTGGGACCCCCCAACCCCGAGCCTGACTGGAGGGCTGAGGAGCATGCACTTTATGTTATTGGCTTTGGGACCCGCTCCCCACCCCCCCACCTCAGCCCTGCCATTATAGGACGCAGTCAGAAATGTGCTTTAGAAAGTTTCTTCTGGCTTGTGGGAATTGGGGAGGGAGGCAGACCCCGGAGGCAGGGAGCACAGGATGGCTGGAGGCTGAGCCATGCTTAGCGGGCAGGGCTTGGGGGAGGGCCTGGTGAAGACCTGAGTAAGGCAGTTCAGTCCGAGGGAGAGGAGAGGCCATGGAGAGGCCACGTTCCAGGGCTGTGAGGAAGGCAAATCAACAGAACTGTGTGTGAGGGGTTTTTTGGCCATTAAAATCATATTTACTAAGCACCTACTATGTGCCAGACACCACCCTGGGTTAGAGCAGTGAACAAAATAGAGGAATGTCTGCCCTCACGGAGCTGACATTCTAACGAGTGGAGAGACAATAAATTAAGTAAGTAAAATATACAGCATGCCAGAGAATGACACACGACGTAGGGAAAAACCAGGTTGGGGTTCTGGGGGGAACTGTACATTGAGTGGTCAGTAAGGTCCTCAGGGATAGAAAGCATTTAAGCAGAGGTCTGAAGGAGGCAAAGGAGAGAACCCTGCAGAGATCTGTGGCAAGAACCTTGCAGGAAATGGGAAGAGGAAGCGCAAAGGCCCTGAGGTACAGGGAGGCTTATGTGAGGAAGAGCCAGGAGGCGGCCGGGGAGGAGGGAGCAAGAGGGAGAGAAGTAGAAGCTCAGAGAGGTAAGGGGAGCACAGACTGAGTCTGGAAGGCCCCTGGGAGAACTTGGCACTTACTCTGTGTGAGATGGAAGTCCCCAGAGGGTTCTGAGTAGAGCAGTGACAAGGGCTGACATGTTTTATCAGGATCACTCTGGCTGCTGCGGTGTTGAAAATAGACTGTAAGTGGGAAAGGGAGGAAAAGGGAAGACCAGCCGGGAGGCTTTTGTAATAATTGAGGCAGGAGGTGATGGCGATCTAGACCAGGGAGGCTGCGTGTCCCCCTCTCCTCTCCCCTCCCCTCCCCTCCATTCCGCTCCTCTTCTCTCTTCCTCCCCTACTCTGTCTCCTCTCCCGCCAGTACGCGCGCACACGCACGCACACACACGCACACGCACACACACACACACACACAGAAACAGCAACGTTCCTGCCGGGAGTGAGGAGTACAGGGATGGGCCTGATGCATCCCACCGTGCGTTCTGCTACTGTCGCTCCATGGTCATCGGGTCGTGGGCAGCCAGCCATCTCTCCCCACTCCTGTTCCCCGGGATTATTTTGAACCTAATCCAAAACATCGTACCACCTCACCATCAATATCTCAGTATGTCTGCATACATTTCGAAGGTAGAGCTCACAGGAACTGTGGCTAGATGAGTGGGGGGGGTGGGAGGGAAAGAGAGTCCAGGGCGACTCCAGCGCTTGGCCTGAGCTGCGGGAGCAGCCAGTCACAGCTGGACACGGACGCCGACGCTGCCCGTGACACATCCAAGGGGAGGGGGCCAGGAGGCGGCGGGACTCTTGAACCACCAGCTGGGCCTGGGGCTGGGGGCGAACGGTAGCTCGGGGCTGTCTGCATTGGGTGGACAATGGGGCCTTTCATGGAGCCGAGGAACAAAGGGGAAGCCGGTCTGAAGCAAGGTGGTGGGTTCATCCCGATAGATATTTTGGGGACCCAGGTGCCTTTGAGACGGCAAGTTCCCTGGTGGGTGCTGAGGTGCCCGGGCTTGGAATTCAGGGAGGGCTTAGGGCTGAACCAATAGGTGATAGGGAAGCCAGGCCAGCAACTGGGGTGGGTGGCTTAGGGGGTATCTGCCGACAAGAATAAGAGGAAGAGGCAAGGCAGGGCCAGCATGAGGGATGAGATGGCAGAACCCCGAGATCATGGGGCGGGGGGGCGTGGGGAACAGAGGTCTTAACCCATTCTGAGGTCTGGGAAGAGACTCTTCTGTATGGAGACCCCAAGCTTGGGGACTTCATTCCCCGGAGCAAGTAAGAAGAGAACCTAGGAGCAGCAGGGTTTGTGCACGATCCATTGGGTTTGCCTACTCTTCTTCCATGTCTTCATCCCACTTCAACCCAGCCCCACACCACTGACCCCAGGATGGGAGAGGCAGGCCGTGTGGGGACTGGGGTTTTCTTGATGCCGCTGCTATGTTCCCGTCAGCAGGGCTGGGTCTGAGGGCAGCCCTGGGCATGGCACAGCAAGCCAGGGTCGCAGTGCGGCCAGTCTCTGGAGCCACACTAGTCAGGCTCAGAGCCAGCCTGGACCACCGCTAGCTGGTGGCTGCAGGCAAGGGACTGAACCTCTCTGAGCCTTAGTTGGCGCAGCTATAAAATGCGTAAAATGTGCATAATAGCTGTCCCCAGCTCCCTGGGTTGTTTTGAGTAGATGAGGTGCTGTATGAACATTCTGGCATGTAGTAGGCGCGTCTTAAACGGTAGCTCTTATTACCATGATTGGTCTGGTCTCATCCCAGCCCTCCTCTCCACAGACCTACCCTTCAGGTGCCCTGGAAGGGCCCCCCCCCCGCCCCCCTGCACTTCCCTACTTCCCAGCATTGCATATACCATCTCACCAACCGCCTCTCTTGTAAACTCCCACCCAGACCTTAGACCAGCTGTGGTGCTTCCTCCCCTGACCCATCCAAACAGGACAGTCCTGTGCTCCTGCGTGCCCGTCAGAGACCCCACCACACTGCTGTGTTTCCTGCCTCCGAGACTGTGAGGGACCCCGTTCTCCATCTCATCTGTACCCCCAGCGCGGGGCACTCAGAAACGTCTGCCGGATGTCTGGGGTGTGAGTGCGGGAGGCCTGAGGCGCTCACAGGCCTGCTGTCCTCACGTGTCTGGTCTCTGCCCCCTTCACCTGGTTCACAGACCTGGACTTGGCTGTGCCAGAGACCGTCAGACTGGACAGCAGTTTACACAAGGCCCGAGCCCAACTACTGGCCAAGGGCCGGAGACACCGGCCCTCCCGCTCCAGGCTTCGGGACAGCGCCAGCTCTGCAGAGGATGGTGAAGGCTCCGACGGGCCCGGAGGCAAGGTTGGGGCAACCCACCCAATCACTAATACCCTACCCACCCTCTCCGCCCCGGACAATCCCCCCAAACCCTTTTCCAGGGAAACCACACTCCCAGACTTCTGCCATAGTAATGCCAACAAAGATTACCTGCATTCACTCTGGCTTGGGTGAAACCTTTAAGGGAGGCATTATTATTCCCATCTTACACGTGGGGAAACTGAGGCTCCGAGCGGTTCAGTAACAAGGTCACCCAGTTAGGAAGTGAGGGAAGTGGGATTCAACCCCAGCCTACGTGGCTGAAGGCCCCCCAGCGCCCACCTCTCACTGCCCAGCCACCCCCAGGGGCATGAGGACAACCCTTCCTTCCAGGTCCCCCAAGGACCCGAGTCCGGGCTCCTCCCTCGGGGGGCTCCCTCGCAGTTTGCCGGGTGAAAGCAACTCCCAGCCTCTCGGGGAAGCGGGGAGGAGGGTTGGCAGTGAGCGGCCACCCCCTCCCCCAGGTGACCGACGGCTGCGGGAGCCCCCTGCACCGGCTGCGCTCGCCTCTGCACTCGGGCCCGGGGTCCCCGGCCGGGGGCTCTTTCTGCCTGGAGCCTCCGGGGTTACGGCGCAGTCTGGACGAAGACGAGCCCCCGCCCTCGCCGCTCACACGCTACCGGCCCCTGCACAACGCCGCCTCGCACGAGGGCCTGGCCGCCGCGTCCTGCTCGCCGCCGCGCTCCGCGCCCTCCTCGGACAGCTCGCCCAGCTTCGTGCGCCGCCACCCGCGCGCTGAGCCCCACAGCGAAGGTGCGCGGCCGTCGGCGCGGCGCCCCCTGCTGGCGAGTGCCGGGACTGCAGCGGCCCCCGAAGGGGAGGGCTGGACCAAGTGGGGCAAGGCGGCTTGGGCACGAGGGGGCGAGGGGGCGGGGGACACACTGCGGCTCCCGCCGTCACTTCCTGAGCACCTACTATGTACCAGACACTCTTGGGCACTGGGACTCACAAGTAAGGAAACAGAGGCAGTCTTTGCGGTCACGAGGCTTGCAGTTTTGGGGAGAAACAATCTAATAATTCCTCATAGTTTAAGGGAGAAGTGATCAAATAATCCCTTAATTAAATGTATAGTTACAAGTCATAATAAGTGCTATGTGAGAAACGTGCACAGTTGCGTCGGGGGTGCGGGGACACGTAGTGGGGGGTAAAGACCTGGTGGGGAGCCTCCTGTAAGGCTTCTCTGAGGAGGTGACATGTGAGCCAAGATTGGAAGGCTGGTTAGAAGTCAGGATAAAATGAACAGTGAGTAGTAGCGGTCCCTACTTTTTCATGGTTTGCATAAAACTTCCATAAATATTCCATGAAATAGGCAGGTGTTCGTGTGGGTCAGGGGTTATCCCCATATTTGAGATGAAGGAAGCTCAGAGAGGTAGAGTGATTTGTCCAAAGTCACACAGCTAGTGAAGGGCACCCGAGCCAACTTGCCTGCTTCTAAGTCAAAAGAGGCAGCGGAAGGAGGCAGGCAAGCCACCACAATGGGCTATTTCCTTCCCCCTCTTCCCCAAAAGATGACAGCCGGGATGCCAGCCCGCCTGAGCCTGCCAGCCCCACCATCGGCCTGGATAAGAAGACTCGCCGGAAGTTCCTGGACCTGGGGTGAGTGGAGAAGGGGCCAGAAGCAAAGGCTTGGAGCTTGGGGGTGCAGGGTAGCACAGTGGGCAGCACTGCCCCACTCCCCCCTGCCCTCCGCACAGGGTCACCTTACGCCGAGCATCCACTAGCAAGAGCCGGAAGGACAAGGGCAGCAACCGCTTGTCCATGGGCAGCAGGTAAGCCATCCGCGCTGTGCCTCAGCCACAGCTTCTGCCCGGAGTTCCCCTGGGGGCCCGGCCCTCCCCATGGTGCCCACGCCCGTGCTGGGTGCTCTCTCCACAGGGAGTCAGTGGAGGGGTCCGGCAGGTCAGGGGGCTCCCCGTTCCTGCCCTTTTCCTGGTTCACAGACAGCGGCAAGGGCTCGGCGTCCTCTGGCAGCACCACCTCGCCCGCCTGCTCCCCTAAACACGAGGGCTTCAGCCCTAAGAAGTCAGCTTCTCAGGTGAGTCCATGGCCTCCCTGCTCCCGTACTGGCCCCAGACTCAGGTGACATGAGGGGGTGGCACTTCCCCCTGGCTGGGGCTGGGATCCAGGCACTCCTGGAGTCCATTTGTCTGTCCATGGAGCCATTCAACGATTCATTCGTTCATCCGTTCTCTGAGTTCATTCGTTCGCTTGTTCCCTCGTTCATATTCTGAGTAGTTCCTCCATGGAGTCATTCACCACATTCAACACACTGAACACTAGTCCCCCCCTCGCCCCGTTATCCACCCAGCCTGAGGCCTCCTCCATGCACCCTAACTCTTCTGCCTGGCCCCCCACATCCTGAATCAGCCGCTGGGCTACCTGTGTGGCGGGGTGAGGCTTGGAGGGAACTGGGATGAAGGGGGCGCAAACTAGCTAGTGCTCAGGAAGTGGGGAGAAGTCGGGGACAGAAGCAGCCACAAGTGTGTCCTGCTCACGCCGCACTCTACACCATACAAGGCCCCAAGTGCTGCTTGTGCTTTCCCGTCAGAAAGCGCAGGCACGTGTAGCCCGGTTGTCCAGGTGAACGAATGAAGGCCAGAGAGAAGGGACTTGGCGCGTGGGTTTGCTGCCAGGCTCCAGGCCGGCTCTGTGGTCGTTCCTTATGTGCTGCTGGGGCAGAGGAGATCGGAAAGCTGGGAATATTCAGGGGAGAAAGAGTTCCATCTGACTTGGGACCTCCTGATTTCCTCACTCCCTGCACAGACTCCCTCCGTCTCTTCCTTCCCTCGTGCATGGTGAACAGGCAGCCCAGGGCCTCATGGAGCTTATCATCTCTGCCCAGGCACTTAGAAGCCAGGGTGCTAGAGGCTATGATGGGGAGGCACAAGGGGAGGACCCCTGACCTAGCCTCGGGGAATCCTGGTCGGCTGCCTGCAGGAGGGGACACCTAATCTGAGACCTCTGCCATCCCTGCTAACTATTCTGCCTCACTTCTAGCCCCACGACCTCCTAGAAGCCTTAACATCCTGCTGCCTCCCATGAGTCGCCACGTCCTATGTGCCTGCCCAGCTCCTGGTTTACGCACAGGAGGCACTGAGCAACTCCTGGTGCTCAGTTCCCAACTTCAGCTCCATTCAAGTGGGAGCAGTGGGTTGGGGGGACTCCCTTTGGCTTGGGGGTGAGCTCTCTCCTCAGTGGCTCGCACCCCTCCTCTCTAGGAATCCACCCTGAGTGATGACTCCACACCCCCTAGCAGCAGCCCCAAGATCCCAAGTGGGCCCCGGCAGGAGACCAAATGCTCCTACCCCTACCACACACTGTCCCAGTCTTCGGATGAGGTAAGCAAGCCCTGCCCTCTGAGCGTCGGGGGTGCAGGCCACGGGCCGTGTCTTCCCCCTCACCGTCCTTGGTCTCCACCCCAGTTCCTGGATGAACCTCTCCCCACTGTCCACCACTGGACCAGCCAGCAGGTGGGCCAGTGGCTGCACAGCCTCAACCTGGAGCAGTATGCCGCCGAGTTCGCTGCGCGGCAGGTGGATGGGCCCCAGCTCCTGCAGCTGGATGGAAGCAAACTGAAGGTGGGTCAGAGGAGCAGAGCCGTGACCCAGCCGGAGCCCAAGGCAACCTTCCAGGATTGGGATTCCCCACGCCCCCGCCCCCCCCCCCCCGGATCTTTCATTGCCTCTAAGGCCACTGCCCTGACCTCTGACCTCTGGGCAAGGTCCTCAGCCTGATCTTTGCACTCTAGCATGGGTCCCCCGTCGGACTCGAAACTCGAGCCCCATCCTTCAGTTTGACCTTCAAGCCCCAGCCCAAGTCTCCAGGTTAACATTGAACTAGGACCATCATATCACCTGGCTCTTGATTCTGAGTTACTTCCTGTCAGAGGAAACCGGGCCTCTCCTTAATCACCTTGCCTGATTCTCAGTGTTAGAGGCTGCTGGTAGTCAGGGGAGGTTTGGGGGGGGGCGGGGGTGCTCAAATCTCTGTGCTGGGAGGTTTCTGGCCTGTTCCCCACCCTCCAATACATTATTTAGGCAAGAGGTGGTGAGGAGAGGCTCCCAGGGAGTCTGTGGAGTGGGGAGGGGCCTCAGCCACTGTCTAGCAGTGTGACCTTGGGCAAGTCATTCCCTATCTGTGGGCCTCAGGGGGCTGGGCAGGATCGTGCCAAGGCTGAACTCCTGAGTGGAGGAACGGGAGCCGAGGATTGCCGGGGGTGGGGGCAGGGGGGCAAAAGTTCTCGTACACTCCATCAGCATCTTTCCCAAACGCTCGCATTCAGAATTCTTGCCCTGAGCATTCTGATCCCCGGGCCAGTCTGGGAGGTGGAAGCCACATTTCTGGGAGGACTGGCCGAGCTCCAGGCAGGGTACACCTGGGGCACAGAGAACCGGGGGCTGGGGTTGGCCAGGGCCCAAGTGCTTCTGGGGCTCTTTCCCTCACCCTTGAATTCCTCCCCAGAGCCTGGGGCTCAGCAACTCGCATGACCGGACGCTAGTGAAGCGGAAGGTAAAGGAGCTGGCAGCAGCCGCTGAGAAGGAGCGCAAGGCCCAGGAGAAAGCTGCACGGCAGCGTGAGAAGCTCCGGCGCAGGGAGCAGGAGGCCAAGAAGAGCTAGGGGATGGCGGGGGGGCAGGCACTGGCACCCAGGCGCTGGTGGCCGCCGGGCTCGGTGGGCACAGGCCTCAGTGGGCAGGCGGGGCCTGGGCGCCAAGCTTGGGCTGGCCCGGCCCCACACTCTCGGGGGGTACATGCCCTCTCTCACCCTGTCACTGTCTGGACCCAGATCCCCCAGAAAAGGAGACCCCAGGAGAAGGCCCAGGAATAAATCCAGTTTTAAGGACTTGTTTGGCACAGAATTCCTAGGGGAGCTGGCAGGTTATGGGCAGAGGACAGAGAGGCCAGGGCCAAAGCAAGTCTGGGAACCCTGAGGCACCTGGGTCAGTCTGACCCTCTACCCTCAGGCCACGGCGGTGCTGGCCGGCAGTGAGCTAGGACACCTGCCGGCCTGCCTGCGTTCTAGAGGCTCTGAGATGGGGCCCGGGTCCTAGGGCTTAGAGAGGTAGGAAGCATCTCGGCAGGAGCGGGTGGACAGAGTTGCTCCTCTCCAGCTCTCCAAGGGGGCTGTGTGCTGGGAGAGCTGGCTTCCGCTCCCAAGGGAGGCTGGTAGGCGCTGCAGCAACCTGCACTCAGGGTAGACTCCCAGTCTGCACTCAGCGGGAGAGCAGAGAGAGCCACATGGTTATCCCAGGCGATCTTTGCCAGGACTTTCGGAGCAGGGAGGGACGGTGAAAACGTCCTTCGCCTTCCCCTTCCCTGTCCTGTGGTCCCAATGGTGAGATGACATCCATACAGGTCTGCCCCTCCTGGGGCCCACTCAAGGCCTGGTCTTTGACCTGCTGTCTAACACAGGGCCCGCTTCTGTTGCTCCCTCGGAGGACAGCTGAGCCCTCTCTGGGGACAGAGCAAACTTGGGAGCTGGGGGGGGGGTGGTGACAGAGGACACCCCCCACCAATGCCTAGGTGGCACTGAATGGGTGAATCCTCACCCCAGCCAGGTAGAGAGGCAAAATCTGGGAGTTCCCCTGGAATCTACTGGAAGGGTTCATCAGCCTTCCCCCATCTGCTCTGGTCCCTGTCAGGGCCTCAGTGGGTTCCAGAACCGGCAGACCGTGCAGGCTCTGGTTCGGTGGGCCCCAAGGAAGGGTGGGTCAGGCCGCTGGGTGGGGGTGGGAATCTATCCCAGCAGCCCAGGGATGACACCTATCCTTGTAAGGAGGGAGCCTTCAGGTACCGTGCGGGCCCGCAGCTTTTGGAGGATTGGCCAGTGACCAATGGGGCTGGGGGCCCTCTGTTTAGAAGTCCCTCTCCACCTCCACCTGCCTGGAGTGGCGGACAGGACCCAGTGCATGCCAGCTCCCCTCGTTCCTGCTCAGGGGCTGTGGCTTCGAGGCCACCCCTGCTCTGGCCACGGTCCCGTCCCTGGGACTCAGCCCTTTATCCCTCTCTGCTGTCCGTGCGGGGAGAGGAGCTGCCGTGGAAACTGAGACATGGGGGCATCGGCACCATCGGGGCCTGTTGGAGGGGCTGGTGCGGAGGGTGGAAGGCACCCAGGCCTTTGAAACTATCAGGAGCTATAGGGGCACCCACCTGCATGTGAAGGGGGGTGGTACTCAATTTATTTCAATAAACACTTATGATGTGCCAGTGACCTCTGTCTGCCCCCACTGGGAGGCTGGGCCCTGAGTGTGTGGGGGGGTAACGTCTGTCCCCAGCGGCCGCCCTATCAGGTGTTCAGGACGGGATGGCTCTGCCTGGTGGTGTGCTCGTGGAACACACTGAGTCATGCCCCGGGCTGGGTGTCCCGAGCGCATCATATGGTAGTCACGGGGCCTGCACTCTGCGTGGTTTGTGCCTGCCCCCCCCCCCCCCCCCCCCGCTGCCGCCCCCGGGGAAAGCAGCCAGGCCACGGTCTCATTCAGTCTCCTTTTTATTGTGGATGTCACGGCCATCATCCCAGCCACTGGGGGGAGCACACAACTTTAACCCCTGTGTGCTGAGGGGAAGGGTGAGGGCTTTCGGGGCTATAAAACTAGGTATGTACATAGAGCCTTCTAGGGAGAAAGCCACCCCAAGCACGTGCGTGTCCAGGCACGGGGGGAGTGGGGGTCTGGAGCTCAGGCAGGACCGTGTGGGTGTGGGGCGGGCAAGTGGCCGTGTGCATGTGAGGACATGCTGGGGAAAGGTTTGGGAGGCACCTGAGGGGCTCTGAGCAGCTTGGCTGGGCAGCTGATCTCCAAGTCCTCCCAGGTTCCTTCACATTAAGGGTGAGCCCTGGGTGAGAACCTCCCCCTCCTAACCTTGACCTTCCAGCTTAGGGTGGAGGGAGAGGCTGCAGGACCAGGTCCCCAACCAGGGGCCCGAGGGTGCAACCCCCTTCTCTACCCAGGGACACCCAGCCCCTTGCTAACACTGACCCAGGGCCAGGGCCTGGGTGCCTGCACGGGCCGGGCGATAAGGCAAGCAGGGTGTCCACTTGGAAGGCCAGGGCTGTGGAGGGCAGTGAGGGGGACCCTGGACCCCTGGCAGAAAAGTGGCAGCTCTGGTCTCAGAAGGAGGACTGCCATGGAAACATGGCTCTGGGGACTCCCCCCCCCCATCAGGATAGAGACGTCCCCCATCCTTAGGCATCGCCCACAGAGACTGAGCAGCAGGGAGACCACCAAGGGATCTGCGTGGAGACGGAGACTGGCACTTAGCCCACAGACTGGTCACCACAGAGATTTTCATAGAAGCTGGTCGTCAGGGAGGGCCACTCCCCACCTGGGGGGGATGAGGAGGGGCACCGTGGTGGCCAGTCCTGGAGACAGCAGTCTCTCCTCTCCGGTGCAGGGGAGTCCGGCGGCCCTTAGCTGACACGGTACGTGGACGTGTTCTTCGGCTCTGTGCTGGGCACACACCAGTCGCCAGCCTCCTGGATGGTCTGGTAGTGGCGCCAGGCTGACTTGTTGTAGACGGGCAGGCGTTCCACCGAGTCCGTGGACAGGGCCTGGAGAGCACCGGGGTCAGCCGGTCCCACTTCCCCGTGCCTCACCCACTTCTCAGTCAGGCACCCTTTGCCCAGGGTGGGTTGTGGTGGTGTCAGACCGTGGCCCCCGCGTCCCACCCTGTGTCTGAGTCAGCCCAGCTAGCTGCCAGACACTGGCCGAGACAACGAACCCCGGCCCAGAAAGACCCATGAAAGGACCTGTCGCTTCTTTGCCTTGCTCCTGCCCATTCCAGAAGGCTACTCACTCAAAGAGTCAGGGAGGTAGAGGGAAGGTGGGCTGTGACCTTGAAGAAGGTCACCAATTCTGGGCCTCAGTCGGCCCCTGAGCTGAATGACAAGTTCTCTATGGTACCCCCCCTTCCTTCTGTGTATAAGAAGTCCAAGGTCCCCAGAACAGGGGTCTTAGTCATGGGCCAGGGACTTCCTTGAACTGCCTGCCGAGCTGGGAGTGTCTGCAGGCTGTGGAACTGCAGCTTTGCTCTGATTCCCAGTCTGGAATGAGGAAAGGAGTGCAGGGGTGGAGACGAAACCTACCAGCGGGCTGACCGGCCCGCACACCCCGCTAGCTGGGCCCTGCGCCAGGACCCTCACCTTGAGATAGATGACAGCGTCGGTCCCAAAGCCCTCCATGGAGAAGAGCTGCAGGTCTCCCTGGAAGTACTTGGCATAGAGGCGGGAGATGGGGAGCCCGTACCCGAAGCCAGCCTACAAGGGGGTAGGAAGGGAGCGTGACCAGGAGGCTGGTGCTGGGCTTCCTGGAGCCAAGGGACCAATGCACTGAGTTGGGGTCGGGCCAGGGGCTTCCCAGAATCCCCCGGGGGTGAGGGCAGTCAGTCTGGTGGGGCCAGAAAGGCGGAACAGTCCCAGCTGTGGGTGGTAGTCAGCGGGTGTGGACAGGTCACGGGGCTCCTGGGTCTCAAGTTCCCAAACCCAGCCCCCCCTGCTCTGCTGGGCGTGGCAGAGAGGTGCTGATGAGTGAACTTCATGGGGTACCAAAGGGAGAGGGAGAATTGAGGAAAGGTGACAGAGAGACACCGGCAGCTCAGGTGGGAAGGCAGCGGCTGCAGGCTCGCGGGGGTGTGAGGAGCAGAGGGGCCGGGACCCGGAGAGGTGACTGACACCACATACAGCCACACAAGAATGAAGACCATGCGAGGTGAGGCGAAAGATGGGGAGAGGGACAGTTTGATGAGAAGAGGTGAAGAGACAGGCATCCTTTAGGAGGTGGGGGGCACCGGAGGGAGACCATCTCACCAGTGGGGTCCCTCCGGTGCCGGGCTGGGGAGTGGGCGCTGTGGAGTACATGTAGCTAAAGAGTCGCTCGATCTTCCTCAGGGGAACTCCCCCACCTCGGTCACTCATCTGGGGGAGACAGACGTGGCTTCAGGCTCACGCCCCCCGCCCCCTGACACCCCTGAGCTCTTGGTCGTCCGCATCCCCAGGGTCTTCTCTGAGCCCATGTCCTGGCAGGAGGGAAGTCCCCGCCCCACTGCTCTCTGGCCCCCAAATCAAGCGTCACATACTTTGATGGACAGATCTTCCTCACCCAAGGCCACCATGACCTTGATAGGTGGGAGGACAAGGCTGGACTCGTGGCTTTCCACGGTTGCACGCATGGCATTCTGTGCAGGGAAAGGCGGGAGAGATGAGTCAGAGCGGCCTAGCCCTAACCAGCCCCAGCGCCGCGGAGGACCATCACCCCCCACCTCCTTACCTTGAAGAGTTCGAAAAGCATGTGATAGAGGTGGGAGGGGACATAGACCATGTGAATTGGCTGTTTGGAGTTGGATGCTGCTGGGGAAGTCAAGACCAAGGATCAGGAAATTGTCAAGAGGTCACCATTCAGCATTCACTGACTCAGCACCTAGCACCCAGCACTCAACCACCCATTTATCTTCCAGCCATCTGCCGGGCCATTCACCCAGCATTTATTCATCCAGCTATCCGTTCATTCGGTGTCCATTCAGCCATCTATCCATACAGTATCCATCACTATACAATGTCCATCCATCCACCCGTCCACCCCTCCATCCAACCACTATATCAACATCCACTAATTCCTCTATCTACCCATCCAGCATCCATTCAACCATCCGACTGTCCCTCAACTGTGCATCTGTTCAAACATCCATCCTTCTTCCCATCTACCCATTCATTCACAGAGTCCAGATCCGGCCTTCCATGTATCCGCTGTTTATCTAGCCCCTTCAACCATTCAAAAAATATCTATCCAGCCTATATTCAGCCTACTAGCATTCGCCTGGACCCCAGAACCCCTGGAGAGCTTTTTAATCCAGTGCGGAGAGGGGAGGGGTGCTGCACATGATTCTGACCCCAGCACTCGGCCTCTCAAGAATCGCTGTAGCCTGGAGAGCTTCCTGGTGTGAATGACTGCCTGTCTTCTCCTGGTGCCTGGCACACAGCTTTGTCTGCAGTGGGCGCTCGATAAATGTGCAATGGATTCGCGAATGAAGGAATCTCAGGCCCTGTACTGGGCAGTGGGGCATAAAGATGAATAAAATTCGGCCCTACCTGCTTGGAAATTCAAGTCTAGACAAAGGCACAACTGACTTTTACATTAAGTGCTGTACCCAGAGCTACGTGCCAGGCCCTGCGCTTGACCCTAGGGATACTGAAGTAACATGGCCTGTCTCTGTCCTTCCATCTCTGCCTCCGAGAAATTAATTAATTTAGTCATTTATTAAAAATTTTATTTATTTGACACAGAGAGAGCGAGAGCGAGAGAGAGAGAGAGCACAAGCAGGGGAAGAGGGAGAAGCAGACCCCCCGCGGAGCAGGGAGCCCGATGCGGGGCTCGCTCCCAGGACCCTGGGATCATGACCCAAGCCGAAGGCAGGCACCCAAACAACTGAGCCACCCGGGTGCCCCATACCTCCAAGCCATTCAGGCATTACAGAGGTACGCCCCAGGAAGCTGGGTGCCTAACCATTTTTTCTGGGAAGTCCAGGAAGGCTTTTCGGAGGACCTGGACTTGAATTGGGCCTTTCAGATGTGGGCAGCGTGACTTCCAGGCACGAAAGGCCTCAGGTTTCTGGCGCACAGGCAGGGGGTGGCTAAGGAGCAGGTGTGGGAGGGGAAGGGTAGAGAAACTTCCAGATCCCTGATCCCCCTTTCCCCTATGCCCCTGGTTCATCAGCAGGTCCTGACCTCTCTACCTCCAAGATATTTATCAAATCTACCCCCTTCTTTCCACCTCCGCTGCCTTCCCCTCCCCTGGATTCCTGCAGGGACCCCCTGACTGGCCTTCCTGACGTCTCGCCTGCCCCCTCCAACCTCTAAATATCTTTGGAATGAACGTCAGACCCTGGCATCACCGCTGCTTCGAACCCTTCAGCGGGCTTCCCCGCTGCACACAATGTCCCGGCTCCTGTCTGTGGCCCACGGGCCCTGCCTGCCTTGGCCTGTCTCCAACCCCTCTCTGCCCGTCTCCCAGCCCCCTCACTGGTCCTGCTGGTGCCTGCCCACCCACCCCACCCAAAGCAGGACCCCTGCAGCCATCCTCTCGTGTCCGTTCTCCCCCTCCTCTTGTCAGAGACACAGCCTCCCCCGAAGTTCTAACGGGCCGCTGGCTGCCCAGCTATAGAGACTGAATTGCCGGCCTCCCTGGCAGCTAGACCTGGCCAGGTGACTTAGGGGAGCGACTGTCCAACCCCTGGGTCCTGCCTTCTCCATCCTCCTCCCCTTCTCCAGCTGGGCCTGAGACATGAGGCTGGGGAGCCGGCTTTGCTGCTCCACCCCAGGGGCTGGAAAGAGGGAAACCTCTCTTTGAATGAAGCCACTGTTATCTGGATTCTGAAAAGGCAGCCAAGCTGATACCCTAGTAAATACACTGCTCCGCCCCATCACTGTCACATGACCTCATCTCGTTTCCTCCCTGTCCCTTGTCACCATCTGAAATTAGCTTGTTGGGGCGCCTGGGTGGTTCAGTCGTTAAGCGTCTGCCTTCGGCTCGGGTCATGATCCCAGGGTCCTGGGAGCGAGCCCCGCATCAGGCTCCCTGCTCCGCGGGAAGCCTGCTCCTCCCTCTCCCACTCCCCCGGCTTGTGTTCCCTCTCTCGCTGTGTCTCTGTCAAATAAATAAATATTTTTTTAAAAAAGAAATTAGCTTGTTGATTATTTGCTCACTGGCTAACAGCCCCCTTCCCCAGCCTCCCCAGAATGAAGAATGTAACCTCCATGAGAACAGGGACCTTCCTTGGCATGTTCACTGCTTAATAAATACTTAGCAAATAAATCAGTAATAATAGTGCTAATAATAAGTCAATAATAGCTCTGCTTCTGTCCCATCCGTTTCTTTTCCTTTTTCTTTTTTTTCCAGTTCCTTTCCTGACTCCCCATCTCACCTTCCTCTCCAGAGCCCTTAGACAGACAGACATGCACACGCGCATGCACACGCACGCACGCACACACACACACACTTGCTCACTATTGATCTCCTGGATCTCCAAGTCGGGCGAGGCCATGTAATACTTGTCACACAGGAGCTTGGCCATATCGTAGGCATCTGAGAGAAGAGAGGGGCCGTTCAGGGAATGGGTCGGTCCACCCAGCAGGCACTCCTCGTGCTTGGCACTGGCACAGGGCATCGCCAACATTAAACCCAAGCGGACGAGGCCCCCACCCACGGGGGGATGACACATCCTCAGGCCAGGCAGCTGGGAGGGGGTCTCTGGGGCTCCTCTGTGCTGGGGACGGCTTACCCTTCACCACCTCGGAGACATTGCAACTGGGGTCGATGCTGCCGATGTGTTTGGGGTGGGCTGGGTTGGTGCTGCCGTCAAAAATCAGGGCTGTGGGTGAGAAGGTAGGGAGCTGTTGGTGGGGCTCCCCTCGTGCCCCCAGGACTCTCCAACTCCATCCCTACATGTAACACCTCTTCTCCCATTCCCCGGGCCCCTCCATCCCCGGCTCGGGCCATGTTTGGACTGTCCACAGACCTGAAGTATTCCTCTCAGCGGGCCTAGTCCACCACACAGCCCACATGACATTTCTTCTTCCTTTCGCTACAGCATTTAAAAATCATTTTACTGTCCTGCATCTGAACTTATCTGAGCATGAGGAACTCCTTTAATCTTCAATCGGTTATAATTTCTCAACAATCACAGTGAACACTCCGGGACTAAGGAACTCGAAACAACAAACAATTTCTGAATATAACAGAGTTGTGACGAATACCACATTGAACGCTTTTGAAAGAGGCGATGTCATTTTGCCTTCTGTAAGCGTTCACAACAAGGCACTTCCACGCTGCTGCCTTCCTCCTCCACTGTGGAGCCAGGGAGGTGCTCTTGGGTCCTGAGCCCCCCAGCCCCGCTCACTGTGCTGGTTGATGAGCATGCGGATGGAGATGCGGCTGAGGTAGAAGCGGTCCAGAAAGTACTGGATGTTCTGGTTGGAGACCGGGTCGTCGCCATAGGTGTCCTTGTACTCAAGCACGCCCTGTGCCATGGTGGGCACCACGTCGTTGTGGCGGTTCCGGATGGTGACCAGGGCATCAGTGAACCTGCAGGGCACGGCAGCTGTTGGCCCTCACCCAGCCCCAACCCTGGGGCACCCTCAGACTCTCCCCTACTTCGGACCTCTTCCCCACACGTCTTCATTCACAGGACCCTTCCCAACCTGACAGACCCACAGTGCCCTCCCCACGGCTTCCCAAGCCCACCCTGCATCTTCCACCGCCTGCCCGACAGCAGGGGGCACTCCTCAGGGGCAGGAGCTTGGATCCCGCCAATCAGACTCAAGGACACGGAGGCCAAGGGTTAATTCCCCCTCAGACTAGATATCCTTGAGGACAGGGATCATTTCTTCCATCCTCCTGGCCATTTCTGCCTCAGGGCTGTGACCCAGTGCCCGTCACCTGCACCTGCCCTCCTGCCCCCCACTGGGGCCCTCACTCACTGGCTTAGGGTACGATGGTCCTCAGGGTCCTTGTCCAGAAACTCCATGATGTCCAGGAGACTTTGGACATACCTGTGTGCAGTGGAGGGGGAGGACATCACCTCAGCGCCAGGCCAGGCCTGGCCCCCTTCCCAACTGACTCAGCTGCCCCCACACCTGCCCCGCCCCTACCGTGGGCAGCGGCACACAGAGCTGCCCCCACACCGGCCTCACCCCTGCCCGCACAGAGCTGCCCTGCTTGACAGGCTACACCACACTTTTTCTCAATTCCTTTCATCTGTATGCGAGTCTCCCTGACAACACAGTAAGTTATGCAAGAACAGCTCTCATTTGCTGGTCCCCCTCATAGCACCTTTGCTGTGAAATCTAAGAATAGCAGTCTTTGAAGGGCACTGGGGATCATCCCATCCCTGGGGTCTCGTGGATTATTGACCAAGAGAGAAGGCTGGGGCAAGTCGCTTAACCTCCCTGAGCCCCTTCATGGAAACCGGTCCTAACATTTGTCCTGCAGGGTTACTGTTGCAGCCCATGGGGCACGGCTGGCAGAGTGACTGGCCCAGGGCACGTCACAGAGCAGGGGCTCAGTGAGGATTATAGCCTAACGCTCTGGGCCCCTAACCAGGGGCCGTGCACTCTGCCTAGGGAAGTGGATTTTAAATGGTGGGTGGGAAGGACACAGGAGCGGGGCAGGCATGGCCAGCTCTGACCGTGGGTGAGGCTGGAGCCCACGGAGAGCCAGGACAGCTCACTCCACTCCGAAGGCCCGGCAGGAGTGCGTGGCCCCCTGCTGTCCCCCCATCTGCAGGCCTAGTTGAGAGGCCGATTTCCCCAGGACCTAGAAGAGCTGCGGAACCAGGGGAGTGGTGGGAAGCCCCGAACTTGGGGCAGCAGGGGGCCAGCCTGTGCAAGGGAGTCAGGCTCACCTGTGGCAGCAGCCCGTGCCAACCTAGAGCCACTGTCCCCCTGCCCTGTGAGCCAGGACCCCCACTGCTTCCTGCTACCGTGTCCAGCCCACGGGTTGTTCTCCTGGGGAAGGCCACAAAGCCGAGCCTCTCTCTGGTAGAAGCACTTGTAGCCAGCAGGAAGGAGGGGCTGCCAAGAGCCCTGGGACAGAGGGCTCTGTGGCCTAATGGTCTTGCTAGAAAAGGCCCCTCCACGGTAGATGCATCCTATGGACACAGTGCTTTGACCTTGACAGGTAAGAAGGGCAGGCATTAGCCCCATTTCACAGGCTCCTCGACTGAGGCCCGAAGCAGTCATCAGGCCGGGAGGCAGGGTAGTGAAGACTCAATCCTCCGCACTCTTGCTACCCGGCAGCGCTGGCTCTGCTCAGAATGCTCACCTCCGCGTCCCTGCCGGTTCTCTGCCCAGAATACCCTTCCCCCTCCACCTCCCCCCCACACTGCTCTTCCCTCTCTCGCTTCAGACACTAGAGGAGCGGGTGGGGGTGCTGGCTGGGGGGCTGGCTCTGCTGATTCCTCCTCCTGGCTTTTCCACTCAGGGCTGTGTGGCCCAGGTAAGTCATGGAGCCTCTCTGGGCCTGAGTTTCCCCGTCAGGAAAGTGGAGGGTTTCGTACTACCGTACTACCGCTATCACTGCCTTTCAGTGAAGGTCAAAGGTCATACCTAGCACCGTGCCTAGCACGCAGTGAGCACTCTCCAGATGTGCACCCTTGCTCTGAACGGTGGTTTACATATCAGAGCCACAGCTAAGTGCATCCTCTGAGCCCCCACACGGCACCCGACACCCTCCTCCTGGTCATACCGGGCGTAGGCTCTGAGTCCCGTTTTAATCATGCTCTGGACAGCCACCATGCTAGGGATGGCAGGAATGGGGCCTTTCCAGCCCTGGTGCTCCCCGCCTGTCCTCCCCACCCAGCAGAAGAGACCAGCCTGCCCCGTCCCCCGCCCCCCATGCCTGCAGCCCCAGCAGACAATCACAGAGGCATTCTAAAGGCCAGGCCTCAAGCTCCCTGGAGAGTGGTAACAGGCGGGCTGACTCTGCTACGGAGTGATGAGGGCTAGAGCCTTCCTGTTGCCGAGTCTACCCAGGGTTTCCCATCCCCCAGCAGCCTTGAGGAGCATGTGGTTCTTCCCCTTTCTGTAGACGGAAACCAGCTCAGGGAAAGCAGGTGATACGGCCCAGGCCCCACGGTCAAGGGCCGTGCTGGGATTCGAACCCATGTCTGTCTGACTCCCAGTCCACACCACGCGGCCAACTGCTCACCATCCACACTGGTCCCAGCAGTGACATGACGGCTGCCGCCAGCGTCGGACAGGGCTCGGCTCTGTGCTTGCCTGGCCCCCTACTTTCGCCTCCGTGATACCCTGTGATGTGGGTGCTCCCGCTTCCCCACTCTACAGATGAGGCGGTCACCATGCAGAGCTGGGCTTCTCTCTCGCAGGCTATGTGCCCCCAAATCCCTGCCCCCCTCCCCCATGCCCAGGATAAATCTTCAAGGGAGAAAACCTGCAAGTGTGCAAGGCTGGGGTAGGTAGAGAGAGGAAGGGGAAGAAACTGGCTGGAGAGTGGGGCCCAGAACCCCTTCCTAAGATGGGGTGGGGGGGCAGGCAGGGAGGGAGAGGGTGGAAGCTGGGAGGCCCTGCCCGCTGCGCCAGGAGATGAAGGGGCAGGGACAGTGTCCCAGCGCAGGCGTAGGCCCAGCGCCCTAGCTACTGGCCCCACCCCTCCGAGGCTGCCTGCCGCACCCTAGAGAACAGAAGTGGGGCCTGGTCACATGGCCAGTGAAGTAAAGGGCGCCAGGACGGACGGACAATGGGCAGTCCCCGCCAGCACAGGCATTCAAAGGGCCGCCAGCCTCAGGCCTCGGTCTCCTGGACTATGAAGCAGCGTTAGGCCCCCTACCCGCCTCCCTCAAAGGGCCACTCCTGCCAGGGAGTGGGTCCACATGGGCTCTCGGGAGGGAGAGGACAAGATGGGAAGGATCTTCCCAGAGGACCCTGGGCCTGGCCTGAAGCCCGCTGAGGCCTGGTACCCCAGATGTCACCCTCAGGCAAGATCTGGTCCTACAGGGAGAGACACTGAGAAAGGAGTGACCCTGGCTCCTGGGCTGCTCCCACACTGACCACCAGAGAAAGAACTGGGCTCGGACCTAGGAGGCCCGAAGTAGCGGTGCACTGGCACATGTGGCATTGACTCCCCCCCTCCCCCGCAGCAGGCTGTGGGGGCCCAATATAGCTGCCCTAGGGAAGGCCTGGGCCTGCAGACCTCAGCAGCAAATCAGGCACCCAGGACTCCTGCCTTCTGGGGCTTTCTAGCCTGCCCAGAGCCCTGGATTTGGGAGGCAGGGGGTAGAATGTGGAGGAAGGTAGAGGGGCGTGTGCATGGTAGCGCGCGCGCGTGCGTGTGTGTGTGTGTGTGTGTGTGTGTGCGCGCACCAGCCACTAGTGTCCACAGCCACTGCGGATAAGGAGTGTGAACAAGGCAGTGGCCGTTTGAGGAGGGGGAGGTGGCAGACCTGTCCCGCGTCTGGAAGCTGCTCTCCGGAGGGGAGCCAAATGCAGGCCCTGAGCCGGGCAGACTCGGGCCCTGTGGCCGGCTGGGCCCTACAGAGGCCACTGAGCCGCTCCGGTACCCGGCTCGGAAATGGGGTTCACTGCAGTACCACTCTGACATCCTCAGTCTCAAGCCCGGTTATGGAAGGAGAGGCCAAGGGGTTTGGTGAGGATGGGATTCAAGCCTCGGCTCCATGCCTGGTGCGGCGCGGGCCACGGGTGCCACTGCCACGGTGCTGGTTCTTCTCAAGAGCTGTGGTTCCTGCAGGGTGGGGGTGTGGGTCCCTCGCAGGTGGGGGAGGTTCGAGAGAAGGTGCTGGCCCCACTGGCCCCTGCCCCTTTCCCTACAACCCCTGCAAGACCCTTAGTGACAGGAGTGACTCACTGTCATCTGATTCTACTCTGCAACTCTCGCTCAACCCCTACCCCCACCCCCCACTTTCTGGAAGCACACTCCTACCAGCTCCACGCCCTCCTCCGGCTGACTTTCTCACCTAGAACTTCTCTGTGGCTGAGTAACAACTCCATTCGCCTTCACCACGTCATTATCGCCACTACTGCGAACAGCATGCGTACCCGACTTTTCCATTTTCCAAACAGGAGCATTTGCTCCTTATTCGTCAGACTCTGAGGGTAGAGGCCCTCTTGCCAGGCTCCGTGGTACACTGTCCCCCTCCTCTCGTGCAAAGCCTACCCACCTCCACCACCTCCACATCCAAGCTGGTAGTGGGTTCTCCTGGAGGGGGGTCTGCACTAACAGGTGGCCACCTCGTCCCCGTCAGAAAGTCCCTCCTCCCCTCAGATCTCAGTCTCTCTTGCTGCAGCCGATGATGCCCATTCCCTAGAAACAACCTCACCAGGCTCCAGTCAGTGCATCAGGACATTCCAGAAATCCCATGGCCTGTTCTCCTCTAAGCTGAACCAACCACTGGGAAGTGCTCTCTCTTGTCTAACTTCGCTCTGTCCTGCTGTTGCTGGACATTACTTCCAAGCTTTGAGGAAAGAAAGACCAGGCCAAGCCCACACATGCGTAACTGATTTTCAGAAATGGCCTCCACTGGGGCCTGGGGGCCTTACAGGCAGTCCAGCAGTTCCCTGCTCCCCCACACCCTGACACACATCCCCCAGCTCTCCTAGGAACACAGCGTCCAGGGAAGGGCCTGCGAGGGCCTGTCCTGGCGTCAGGGGCCTGCTGGAGAGGTAGCCAGGCCAGCCAGCCGGGCAGAGCTGGAGGAGAAGCAGGCAAACAGATGGCACCTCCTGCCTCCTCCCCACCACTTCCCCACCACCCCGTGGTGGGAAATGCTGGTTGGCTCAGAGGTCTTGGACCTCCAAGGGCCAGGGCCCAGTGAGGGGTGACCTGGCTGGGCTGCAGGAATGCCAGGCCCTGCCCTCTCCCCCCGGCCCCCTTCGCAGCTTGCACCGAAAGCACTGCAGGTGCAGAGTGAGGTCGCAGAGGCCCTGGCTGGGCCCTTGCCTGCCTCCACGCCCTGGCACAAGCAGTCCCAAGGCCTGGAATGCCCTTCCCTCCTTTCTAGGTCTAAGCTCACTCCTGGCCCCCTGGAAGGCCCAGTGACGTGCCACCTCCTCTATGTGTCCATCTCAACTTCCCCACAACTCTGCTTCAACTGACATCCAGTGCGTGCCTACTGGGAGCCTGGCCTTGTGCACAAAATGCTTTCCTTACCGTATCTCATTACATCGGAGTAAGTTCTGCCTGTGCGGGTATCCATGCATAGCAACGGTGCTAGAAGGGCCCCACTAAGACCTTCTGAAACCCTACCAGTGTTTGGTTATGGCGTGGAGGGGAGTGGATGGCTTTCTCTTCTATTTTTCTGTGTCTTCCAGAAAATACTTCCATGATGAGTAGGAAAAGAACCCCAATCCATGTTACTTTTTAAATAACATTTTGGTTCTTTAGTAAGAGTAACTCTTCGGCAGCTCGCTGCTCCCACCACGATCTATGTAGCTCTCAGTTTACCCACTCTCCTGCTCCCCGCGAGCTCCCAGGCTCCTGGAGGGGAGCTGTGGCTGCCGCTTTTCTGCTCCGGGCATGGCACCGGGCTCACAGCAGGTGTGGACCCCTGCTCCTGAACCCAACAGTGAACCACAGCCATGCCACACCACAGCCAGGAGGACTGGCAAAGCCTTCCGGCGCAGGTGCCACCAAAGACCAACCAGGATTAACCATCCGCACGCCTCTCACACAGCAAACTCTTGTTTGTTCTTCATGTGACCGGCCATTGGTTCATGTCATCCAGTTACGTAACCTGGGACAGAGTTCTAGAGGGACCTTTACTGAGGATTTCCCCCTGCTACTGCTGCAACTTTTGGTCTTTGCCCCTCCAAAGTTCCTGGGGGTCGGTAGTGTGCCATCCCTGCGTCTGAGTGTTTTCCAACATCCAAAACAGTCCGACTTGTAGCTTGGATTAAAACATTTGGAAATTCATTTCTTCCTGTTTCTCTTTCCCTACAATGTTGCCCCCAGGTAAATATTACCCAGTAGGTGCTGGGTTTCCAGAACCAGAGCTGGTGGTGAATGCCGGTATTAGCATGGTTTGGGTTTTGGCTGCGTAAACAATTCCCCAGGTGGATCCTGGGTTTCTGGAGAAAGAAGAGTGGTAAGAATAGGGCCGGCCCACAGGCGTGGAGGCTAGGAGCTTTATCTTGGTCCCTGATCTGGCCTAGCGTTCCACCTGACCTTGGGCAACTCTCCAGCCTCTTGGAGCCCCTGTGCTTCCTCTCTGTCCCCACCTCTCTCAAGGCTACTGGGAGCACAGAGGCTCTGGGAGCCCAGGGGCATCTGGCAGCGGAGTGGGAGGTGCAGGGGCCTGGCCAGGGGTCTCACCAGCTCTGGACCAGCTGCACCGAGGGTGTGCTCAGCACTCGGTCTGGAAGCAGGTTGATCTCTTTCATGATGTTGGCCAGGCGCACAGGCAGCTCCTGCCTGAGGAAGGTGAATGAGGTTTTCTCACAGGCATTGCTGGACCCTGGTGGGAGGGAGAGAGACAGAGGTGAGCCCACAGAGCTGCAAACCCCTGGAGCCAGAGGTCATCTCAGGGGTCAGGTCGATTAAATCCTTCATTTCCTGAGGGTTCAGAGAAGTGACCGGGGGCACAGAGCAAAGCACCTCTCCTAATCCCCTGCAGGGCTCCCACCTCCATGCCACCCTGCCTAACCCTCTCCAAGCTTGCGTCCCCTCGCCCCCAGCCTGCTTGCCTTCAACCACAGGGGACAGGGCCACTCCCAGGTCCACTTGGGGCTTTCTCTGGCCTCAGTTACCTTACTTCTTCACTTTCTGTCCTTCCTAGCAGACACTCGCTTTGAGGGGTGGAAGGGGTAGGGTGGGGTGGATTGGGTGGGCAGAGGAGCCTGGGAAAACCACCCCTTCCCGGGTCTGGGCCTGGCTGAGGGGCGCTATGCCTGGACCATGGCAGCTGCGGGGTCCCAGGTCATTTCTGGCCCAGTCTGTCTTCACCCAGGCTGGTCTTGATGACAACTGTAGAGTTGACCCTGCATTAATGCCCACGTGGGAGGCGCACAGGACCCAAGGATGGGAGTCTAAATATCTTGGTCCTTGGTCTGGCTTCAAGATGAAGACGGAGTGGTAGACTGAGGCCATGGCCTAGAGTAAGAAGAGTCAGATGCTAGTCTAAGTTCTGCTTCCAAGTCTGCCACCTAGGGCATGTGACTACCCTTCTGAAGATCTGTTTTCCCCACGGCACTACAAGTGGACCAAATTCGACTGTGAACCCCACCCAGTCCATTTCTATAACTGGGGTCCAGTTTGGACCAGACAGCTACTGGTGGCTGGGAATGCGCCCAGGGGGCTTTCTTACATAGGACAGCTCAAAAAGGGCAGGGGGACAGGCAGACAAGTCCTGGGTAACAGGGGCCCTGTGTCCTAGATGCCACCTCCCCACCCCCTCCCATCAGTGACGCAGCTGTAACTTGAGCCAGACACTGTCTCTTCAACTCCTGAGAAACCTGGGCACCCCCTCCTAATCCCTAGCTGGCACCATGGAAATACCGCGTAGACATGGCCCACACAATGCCTGTTTCAATGGCCCCAGTGGCACGGTCTTGCTTCTGCTCCCAAGGCGCCCCCAGGGCGTTGCTGGTGGGTGATCCTGGCCCAAGAACCTAGGGACGGCCAAGGCTGCAAGCCTCCCGACTGCACCTCATGGTGCTCCAAGCCTCAGCCTGGGAGGGGACAGGGAGCCAGGCCCAAACAGATTTGCTCTTCAAGTGTCCTTGTGTACTGGGCCAGCTGGGGGTCAGCTTCTTCAGTGGGTGGAGGTATACTGATCAGCGACCTCCCTCCTGTTGACATTTTTCTGAAAGAGCCCAGTCCCCACCTGACCCCTGGGTGCCCAGCCCAGCCCAGGTCTCTTTCCAGATGTTTGCACCTCCTAATCCCGCCTTGTTACTCCCACCAGCGTCCCAGCCCCATTTCCTCTCCATCTCCTACTCATTGAGTCACGAGGACAACCACCTTTAACCCTTTCTGTCGGGATATACCCCACTCCCCTCCTGCCCTAACATCACCTCCTGGCTCTCCCTTACTCTCCAAGACCTCTCACAAAGCCCAGCAAGGTATTTAGACCCCTCCTTCTCACTGCCCCCACTTCCCATTGACAGCCCAGTATACAGCTCTTCCCCAGGATACCTTAACCCTTTCAGGGCCAGTCCCTGCCCCTCCCCCCCCGCCTTAACCCTTTCCTGCCTGTGCCCCAGCAACCCTTCCCTGTCACGCAGGGCCTCTCCTCTCCTCCGCGTTAATCCTTCGTGGCCAGAGCTCCCTCCCTCACTGCCCCCCGCGCCCTGCGGGCCCCCACGGCCAGCCCCCCCCCCCCCACACTCCATACCAAAGTCCAGAAACTGCTTTATGGACAGCGGGGACGGGGAGAACTTGCTGAAGTGTTCGATATACTTGGGCGCCCCTGCCAGCGACGCATTCTTCAGCAGCGCGCGGACCCAGCGCATGGCGGCGGCGGCGGCGGCGGCGGCGGCCGCAGCTCGGACTCGGGCTCGGGTCCCCCGGCGGACAGCGCTGGCGCTCAACTCGGCCCAGCCCGGCCCAGCGACGGGGACGGGCCACCTCCTCCCCGCCCCGGCCCGGGCAGTCCTCCAAACCCTGGCCAATCGGCTCGTTGCGACGCCCCGACGTCGCCAATGGCCGCTCACAAACAACGCCGGCAGAGCCAATCGCCTCTCGCCCCGGCACGTGGCTTTCCCCCCCCCCCGGGCCCACCCCCTTAACCCCGTCCTTGCCGGGGGCAGCCAGTTGTTTTCGGGAGGCTGCGCCATGAGCCCGCCTCCCGAGCGTTCGCTCCGCCCTTTCCTCCTCCAGGCCAAGCCCGGCTTAACCCCTGTCTCCCCAGAGGTCCGTCATTCCTTCTCCCTTTTCATTTCTTCCTCTCCCGCGCCCTCCCAAATCTTCTTCGCTCGCCTTCCCTAAAATTGTGCGGGTAGCTCTCCACGAATCCGTTCCCTCTCAAAGGGACCTGTTTCACCCGGCCTGATCCCCACTTGCGCTCCCTGAGGGGGACGATCTGGTGGGTTCCCAGTCCGGATGACAGTGACTCGGACTGGGAAAGTTTGCAAACTTCGGGATCAGGATGCAAGCCCATGTTAATCCCTCATACAGACGTGCACCCCACCCACTTCCACAAAGATCCAAGCGGCTCAGGAAAAGACCGCACCCAGAGTCAAAACCCTAACTAACGACTGGCGGCGGTGGAGGCAGCCCTTAACATCAGCGCTATGCGTGCAGTTCTCAAAACACTTTTATTATTCTCTACTCATTTGACCTGAGAAAGCGACCATCTTCGTACTGGGCTGCCTTAGAGAAAGGTCCTGCCAGGTGATCTGCGCGGGGGGCCGGGGAGCCTGCCCTTCCCCAGCCGCCCTGCGCCTCTTGTGGTGGAATGCGGTACGTCCTGATCCCCCCACCTCTCCCCCTCCCCCCAGTCTTGTCCCTTTGATGTTTTCGCTCTTTCACTGTTCAGTCCCTGGGCCCCACTGACCAAGTGCTCAGTATGTGCCGGGCTTTGTGCTGGGAACAGGAAACACAGAAAGGATAAGGAGGTAGTCTTTTCATTTCTTAGTTTGGGAGGTCGCTGCCGAAGTAAATAAGTAGTTACTGTGTAACAGAATGTGATTACAGTCAACACTGAGCTATGCGCAAGGCTTCCCAATGGAAGGGACTCTTAGCTGGATGAATAATAACATATGTGCCAGGCACTGTTTGCATGCATTATCTCCTTTAATTCTCCAGACGGCTCTCTGGTGCTATTATTATCCCCATTATATAGATGAGGAAACAGGCTCAGGGATCATTCTCAAAAGCAAATCTGAACTTGTTACTTCCCTTGCTCACAGACTTTCAGTGGCTCCCTGCTTCTTACTGGCGTCTTTCCAGCTCTTGCACGATCGGCTTTGGCTTAACTCTCCAGCCTCCTCTTTCCACATTCCCTTACTCAACTCCCAGCCATACTTATCTACTGCCTTGAACCAGCCTCCAGTCTCTAAGCCGTTGCAAATGCTGTCTCTTCTGTCGGAATCATTCTCTCTTCTCACCACCTATCCATTCTTCAAGTCTCCGACCCTACCAGGCCAGGTTTGGGGCTCCCTCTAAGGGCTCCTTAGACCTCCCCAATCTTAGCACCACTTGGCTCCTCTCACACTGAGTGGAAATCATCTGCTGAGTCATCTGTCTCCTCCACTAAACTTTAAGCTCCAGGAAGGCAGGGCTGTCTGTGTCTGTATAATTCACTGCTCTATCTCCAGCACCAGGCACAGCACCTGGCACACAGAAGGGAAAAGAGTGTGAAAAAAGAATTGGGACCACCAGGGAGACATAGCACAGAGTCATCAGGGAGGACCACCAAACACCCTTCCAGCTAGCAATTAAATCATTGATGATGTTGGTGAGTGTAGTCTTCAAGTTGTCCAGAAGAGCATAAAGGATATTTATGTAAAAAGCCCGGCCCTGTACCTGGCACATAGTAAATAATCAATCAATAGCAGCTATTACTATTGTCAAAATTTAAGTAAGGAGGGGCGCCTGGGTGGCTCAGTCAGTTGAGCATCGGACTCGTGGTTTTGGCTCAGATCATGATCTCAGGGTCGTGAGATCGAGCCCCATGCTGGGCTCAGTGGGGAATCTGCTTGAGGATTCTCTCCCTCTCCCCCTGCCCCCTCCCTGCTCTCTCTCTCTGTCTCTCAATTAATTGAATAAGTCTTTAAAAATGTTTAAGTAATGAGGAAAAGGCTGTAAACTCTGAGGCTAGGTGTAGGAGAGATTTCCCGTGATCCTCTCCTTAGTGCTGGACTTCTATATTGTGGCTCTGTGCTTGGATCAAAATTCCTTCTGCAGGGATTGCTGCAGGGTGATAATGGGAGTGGCATGGTGTGGTCAAGCTAAGTTAGAGATGCTGAGGTTAGACTCCTCCCCACCCCACCATGCCCAGATTTCCTACTCCATGTACAAGGCAGGTTGGTGGTGGGAGGGGGACTCTCAGGGACTCAGACTGACAGACATTTTATCTCAAGGCAGGCTTCTACAGCAGCTGAATCAGGAAAGCAGAACTGTGGGGACTCTCATCCAACATTTAATGGTCTCAGCCCAGAATTGAGGCACGTCCCTCCTGCTCACAACTGATTGGCCAGAATTAGTCACATGACCTCATACGCCCAGGAGGGCCCAGGAAGTGCAATCCAGCCTTGTGTCCAGAGGGGGAGAATCACCTTATAGGTCCTTTTAGTGACTCAAAAGCGAAAACCCTCTTTGGGAACGGTCTGGAGGTG